CTTCATAGATGTACTTAATAGTTCAGCTTGTCCACCCATCTATCGATCCGTATACCCCTGTTTGCCTTTACTGACATTGCAGTACTGTATGTGCAAAAGGGTTCATCTTTGTTGTCTGTACCTCCCTATGTTTTCCTTTTCCTCAATGCCACCATGTTGATCACTCACATTTGGTACATTGCCCTTCTCTTCACCCAAATCAGTCCTTATCTCTACCTTTCTAACAGTGTTCTCTCCCCTCCCCTCCCACCCCTGGTAACCAACAAAGAAAATGCACAAACAAATGTGCATTGTTGAAAGGCTTCTTTTAAATGGAAGTAATTTTCCTTTGTATTTTATAGACTAGAACAGAGGGCTGCCTTTTGGCCAAAGGATGCATTGGACACTCAGCAGGACTTAACTGAGGTAGGTGCATTCCTTGCTGGTTGTATGACCATGAATTACCTAACCACTACATGTATTCTTTTTTACAGTACCAGGAATTCTTTCTGATTAAAACTTGAAGATTTTGCTTTTAAGTGAACTTACCAGGCTTGTAGTTCTTTGTTCATTTGGTAATGTTTGTCTTTACTCTAGAGAAAACACATTTAAAATATTATTTGCAAGACTGCTTACCATGTCTTGACCTGAAACCAAGTCCAGCAGTCATTAAATTACACTCTTTCAACTTTGCTTCAGGATTATATACTATTCCTGTGACAGTGAACAGTTAGGAAACTTCTCCTTAATTTTATTTTATCTGCATCTGTCCCACTCTGTTTTTTCCTATTGGTGATTGCAGCCTCAGGCATAATCAGACTTGCTATTTATTCACTGAGCATAATAGAGTTTGATGCTTGCAGTTGGGTCTTCTTAGTCTACTTTGGAACACAAAGCCATAATTCTCAATCTGAGTGGTATTCCCACCAAACTGGGTTAATTAGCTTGTCCTAGATTTTCTTTGAAACATATAAATTAATTACACTCTTGGTAATCAATATAATATAATTAGGATCCATGTTGTTATGAATGTCTTGTCTTAAGACACTGGTTTAGAATACCATGTCTAGTTTCTTTTCCCTCATTATAAAATTAAGGAGCAGTAGATGATATGTTTGATTAGGATCAAAGCAAAGAGAATGATAAAACTTGATGTCCAGATGACTGGAAGAGGAATGATGGACTGTAGGCAATTTGTTAGCATTTTAAAGATGCACCCCTCTGCCATCTCCCCAAAGGTATTTAATTGAATCTTGGAGATTTTGTTTTTACTTTTTGCTCTAGAACTTGGCAGAAACCAATAGCCAAAAGCAGACCAGCTACCTGGTGACACCAAATAACTAAAGTTGTAAAAAATGTCCTAAAGATAACATCACAGAAATGCTGCTTGTTAGTTTTCTGTACATAAAGACAGCCTTCAAATTTCCCAGTCTCACTCATGCTAGCAAGAGTGAAAAGGAGCTTCCGAGAAAAGAGACAAGAGCCTAAATCGATGAACACAGCTGTCTGCCCCACTGTGAATGAGCAAAATTCTAGTTGTAAAGAAGCAATGGTGTATTTTGACATAAGTGACTAGAGAAATGAGGTGATTACAAGAGTCAACTGGTGATATGTTTCGAGTATTTGGAGAAACTCTGATTTGTGAGCTGGAAACAGATGAGATGCTGATATTACTAGAGCATTCCTAAATCACTATTGCAAAAAGCTGTTTGAAAATCTCTTTTCTATATTCTTTCACTATACTGTGTTTGTAAATTACACGGAATGTGCCAGATCACTGCTCTGGGCACAAGAACGCTGAATGGAGACCTGCATCCCAAAGAGCAGGCAGCACCATATGTTACAGGTGCCCTTTTCCATGAAAAGGTGGTGCTGCTGATCCAGCCTGGTCGTATGGACTGTGAGTATGTGCTCAAGGTGGTTCTGTTCCAGTTTTGAGAGTAAACTGTGTATAGATTGACATGCTTTCATGCTGTTTCTATTGTGACCAAACCTTGGGAAACTGGAAGAGACCTTAAAGAAACAAGAGACAGACTGCATAGTGGGGCAAAGGCCATGCAGGGAGGGTCCATGTTTACACTCATCAACGGAGAGTCCTAGCGAGTGGGTATGTATTTAACTGGATTTATCCCACTATTTCCCAAACTTATTGGCCACCAAACTCTTCTATGAAATAACCCCCTAAAAACAGTTTTTTTTCAGGCACTAGAGTACTGTAGGACACAGATGGGAAACATTGCTTTAATATTTTTAATTAAAATAGAAAATGCATACAGAGAGTCCAAAAATTTTAAGTGTATAGCTGGATAAATTCTTACAAAGTATGTGACCAATACCTAGATAAACAGAATGTTAACAGCACCCTGGATGCCTCATTATAATTTCTTTCAGTCACTACTCTTCTATAAGAATACACCTACTCCTCACTTACCAACTATCTCATTATCCAACATTTTGCATTTACGACAACTTTGAAAAAATTCTCAGGTGGCCCATCTGATAGTCCATGGCCCATGTAGGGATGTTGCCAGGCCTGGGTACCCTCCTTGGGCTACCCTGAATGACATACCAGAGGCTGTGGCGATGCCAAGGCCATGCAAGGGACAGTGGCTAACTGGCCACAGGATGCCTTCTCTTATTTGTCTACAACGTTTAGGTCTGGTCACTGAGGGCACAAGGCAGGGTGATGTATGGTCCCAGGCAGCCAGAGGGAGGCTGGGTGATGGCCTGAAGGTGCCAGGGGGATTGGTGGGGGAAGATGGGAAAGCAGTGAGAGGGAAAGGGACGTCATGGGACTGTGGGGCCATAGCTGATGGAGGATAAGTGGGGTCCTTGCCCAAGGGGAGAGGTGGGCAACACCCAGCCACTGCCACTACCACCCCAATCCCCGCAGACTCTGTGGAGAAGACACGGTGGGGAAGGGGTGGCCCACCATGCTAAGTGCATTGTAAGATGTGCCAGGGGTGCCTCATGGATGGTGGGTGATGGGAATGGGGGTGGGGGCGGTGGGAAACATTGGCTCTGAAGATGGGGCATAGCCCCATAACATTGATTTTGTTTGTGACCTGGTCTTTGGAACCTGTTAATAAGTGAGAAGTGGTACAGTTGCTTTTAAGACTGATACAGATTGGTTTTGCTTATTTTTGAGCTTTTTAGAAATGGGTTGTAGGTGCTCTTTTGTGTCTGGTTTCATTTGCTCAATATTATGTTTGTGAAATGCATCTATGTTGAGGCATGTAGTTGTAGTGTTCATTCTCCTTGCTGTAACAGTATCCTGTTGTATGTTTTTTTCCAGTATTTAACTATTATGATCAGTTGTCACTTTTTTTTTCCCCATTCACTATGAGCTGTTTTCTGGCCTCTTTATATAGCTGACTTTTAACAGAAGTATTCCTTCCACCTCAAACAGAAATATGTTAGGATTTCTTATTATATTAGCTCTCTGCATTGATATCTGTCCTTTTTTTAAAAATTATTTATTCTCCAGCATTTTATTTCTCTCAAACAACCCACCAGTTCTATATCTGCTCTCTTTCTTTCACTCCCACTTGCAAGTCTAAAGTCAAAAAAGATTTTTTTGAGCCTCATGAGAGGCACAGTTCACAGTATTTTTCAGACTTTCCATGGACATTGATGTGTATAAATATTAACAATTATACGATGCTGCATGTGTGCTCCATGCTTTCCCATCTGGTATTTCACTTCGACTACTTGAACTTAATTCTACTTTCTTTGTCACAGATTGATAGAGTTTGGCTATAGATTGGATCCATAGCTGGTATTCAACCCAAGGTCTTTGTGCATAGAGACAACCCAAGGTCTCATATGACCAATATAGCGATGCATGATGTGACATATCTATATGTCTCTATGTGTAGATTACCTATATTTCTCCATGAGCTGCAGAGCCCATTCACTTCTTGTTTCCAAAGTTAAGATGTCCTCAAGACCATCCACATGCAGGCCTGGTTTGGGGAGTAAATAGTGAGTAGTATATAAAAGAGATGCATGGCATTAAAAGGAGCTTTGGTGGCATAGTGGGTAAGGCATTTGGCTGCTAATCAGAAGATCAGTGCTTCAAACCCATCAGTCACTCCATCAGAGGAAGATGGGGCATCTACTTCTGTAAAGATTTATAGCCTCAGAAACCCAGTGGGAGTTGCTATGAGTTAGAATCGACTCAATGGCGGTGAGTTTTCTGTGTTTGTTTTTATTTTTCATTCATATGTGATTAGTGTAGTTATCAATCAACCTTCTGTCAGGGAGAGAGGCCACATTATCATAAGTGAAGAATTGAGGTCAGACAGGATCTGAAATAGCACAGCCATCCTAAGGAGTGGACTGAAGCCGTGGGTCCTTTTGAACTTTCTTTTTGGTTTTGCCATTTTATACTTGCCTAATCCAGCTCTTACATCATCATTCTACAGAAGAAGTGGTCACCTTGTTAAATGTCCATGGTCTCTGTGCTAAGGAAACTTGTATTTTCTTATCTGAGAGACACTTTGATGGCATTCTGTATTTAATATTTAGATAAAGCGAATGTCAGCTGAGTGAATAAGTTTGTTTCCATTTCATTTTTTGCTGGAAATCAATTCTGAAAGGTAAAGTGAGCCACAAGCCAGTTGGCTTGGAGGCTTGTTGGCAATGAAACTGTTGAGTGCTGTCATGGACCAACTCTATAGTTTATTCTTAGGCCTAAATAGCCACTTTATAAATCTTAAAATACACACACACACACACACACACACATATATGTAGCTGGATTAATGGTTTTCCCTAAGAAAGACATGTCAGGCACAAAGAAGCAGATGCTCAGTCTTCACATGTGTTTCCTCATCTTTTAACAACTGATAAGTCTTGCAACTCTAATGTGAGGATTTCAAGGTGGCTAAGACTTAGAAAAGGCTTCTAGGCAAGTACACTGGCTTTTTTATGTGCCCAAAATCAAAATGAAGATGCCTGTCTTCCCCACAAACAGTTTCCACTGGGTAAAAGGTCCAAGTGGAATGATTGATAAGTGCATAGAGGAATGTAGAACCTTAATATAATTAAGATAACAGAATAAGTTCAGTTTTAGAGCAGAATGGGAGATGAACAAGACAGGAGATTGTGTTTAGGTTTGAAATCTTCAAAATTTATGGCAAGCTGCTGATATAGCAAGCCATAGTTAAGTGGAAGTGGCATTAGAATCCAAGGGACCAAGGAATTATGGGGCAAGATATCAACATGATTATCAGTCTGGACACTGAAATAACTAAATGTAAAAGGTTCCATTGATGGAGAGAAAAAAAGCAACCCTACAGAAATTACTGCCATATACATGCAGGTTGTGGAATCAAAAAGGAGAAAACATTGGTTGACTTAGCAATGAGGATCCAAAGAGTAATGGTAATCCATCCTTTCTACCCTGCTGTCTCCTTCCTAAC